GAAGGCGTCTGCGAAGGTGCCAGAGGCCGGGGCCGGGCTGGAGAGCAGGAGGCTTCGCAGGTGGGCCTGGGCGGCCAGCAGAAGGGTGCCTGCCAGCTGCAGGGAGAAAACCGAAACCGCCACAGGTGACTTTCTGGGCGCTGGGTCACGGGGCCCCAGACTCACGCGGGGGCTTCTAAATGCTTTAAAACAACAAAGGGTTTGGAGAAGCACTTTTTGAGTTGTTGATCACATCATCGGGGTGTGAGAACTCAGCCCCTGAAGGCCTGTCTGTCTGGAGCACTCTGCCCTGCCCTGCCCCAGGGCCCCGCATCGGCTCTGCCCTCCCACCGCCAGCGCCGGCCGCCCCTGCTCCCTGCTCCCTGCAGCCCGAGCTGCTGGAGGCCACACTTGCTTCATGGCCCCCATGGTCTTTGCTCCCGGCACCTGGCAAGGCCTCAGTAAAACACACCACTCGAGAAAGAACAGGAAAGGCCAAATGTGGGGTAGGTTTAGCCGAGGTAATGGCCTAGGCACTGCGGGGCATCTCAGGCCCAAGACACACACGCGTCACTCCCTCATGCACACAGCCTGGGCACTGACAAGCACGGCGGACCATCGGCCAGTTGTCACAGGTCCACATGGGTCTGCATGTTCACCAGCCACCGCTGGGCCCTCCTGAGCCATAGCATAGCCATCTCTCCGTCCCACAGGGCCACCAGCCTCCATTCCCGCTCCCAGCCCTGGCCCTGCACCAAGACCCCCGGCGGGTCCACTGGAACCGCCTAGTACCGCCCGCTCCCCAGGTGGCGTTGCAGGCCATCAGCAGGAGCAGGGCTGGAAACGGAGCATGAGTCCCGCATCTCCAGCCTCTATCCATCGAACCGCTGGCTCCCTATCCCCCGACCCTGTGCGTCCCTAACTGCTGAGCGGTGGGAATTCTACTACTTAGTGTGGACACGATGCAGTTATATCCCTCTGGGCCTCTGTGGGATGCAGCGGCCGGGAAGAGCTCAGCCCCCAAGGGGCACGGCCCAGGACCACCTCATCTCTGGATTCAGACCCCGTTCTTCCCTTTGCAGAAGAGCCAGGCACCATCTTGGTCTGACCATGAAGTGGGTGGACCCAAGCGGCCACGTCCTTCCTGGCACTTAGGAAAAGCTCGGCAGTGGCACAGACTGTTTGCGTCCACACAGCGGCGGCAGCAGGCCTGGTGGGCATGGCGCACGCCACGCATGGAGCGACTGACCCCTCTGGCATCAGGCCCAACGCGCCCATGACGGCCCAGAGGAGTGGGGTCCCAGACAGCGCCCCCCGCTGAGAAAGGCCGACTGACGCGGAAGCCGACACTCTGGCTCTGCCTGTTCACAGCCTCACCCCGGAAGCCAAGATGCCGGGCAGCGCGTGACGTGTCACGAAGGAGCAGGGAGCCACCGCGGCCCGCGTGCCAAGAAGGTGAGCGCACTTCAGGGTCAGCAGCACGGACAGGGCTCCCTGGAGCCGCCGCGTCCCCTGCGACGAAGAGCACAGCGGTCAGGGGCCACGCCGGTCACAGGTGTTCCCGCCTGTGCCCCGCACGGCGGGTGTGTGGTGGCCCCAGGGCACGGTGTCTGAGCGCCGGCAGTGCCACATGCCCAGAGGGGAACGAGGCGGAGCTTGGCTGCCTCCCCGCCGGGGACCCCTGCCCGGCCTCCCCATGCAGCGCCTCCAACAGAGCTCACCCCTGTGGGGC